GCCTGCGACCCCCGTGCCTTCCAGAAACTTCCCCGGAGCCCCGCAGGCAGCCCCCGGTTCGCCTCCGCCACCCTTCCCAAACCTTTCTTTGCCAAATCTCCCTTTATTGGAATACAAAACCCTGCACCGGGGTGACGTCCCCAGAGCACGGGCGAGTTTCGTGATGGTTTCTGCAGCCCCTGCAGGGAGCTCGTCCCCTCCTCTTGCATGCGCACGCTCATATTGTGACATTTTCATAAAGCCTAGTGGCTGAAAACACACGCCTTAAAAATTATACAAAACAGGCAGTTTTATTAAATCACCTAGTTACAAAAATAAATGGAATGGAAGAAAAAGAAACAAAAAAAAATAATAGCAAAAATTCACATCCTAAGAAATGAGACGTTACAGCAGAAGGCTGGGGAAGCTCAGCTCAGTTGTTGGAATGCCCTGGTGGCTCTGTGGTGCCCTGACACCGAGCTGTGGTGACACTGTTCAGGTCAGTGGCATCTCCCTTTCAGCTGCACAGCTCCAGCCAAGGCAGAGCCACCACAAAAGGAAAGGACAGGAGATGTGCTGAGCTGCTGAACAGCTGCAGACCAAGCACCAAATGCGTTTCTTTGGAAGGAAACTGAGAGTAACTGAGTATTCCTCGCTGCTCTCAAGATTTTTTCATTAGACAAAACCAAAACCCAGCATAAACAGTGGCTCCATGTTAGCTCAGAATACGTTAGCAGGAATTTCTGTGTAAACAATGAGGAAGGAATCGACTGACTAAAGCATGACACTGCTTCTCTTTGTGGCTTTGAGCAAGTGGTGTCATTGATCCCTCAGTCTGATCCCTGCTTTCTTCTTATAGGGGGGAACATTGTCCTTCCATAAGGGTCTCCTGGGATCTTCCTTCCAAATCAAGAGTTCAAGTTTGTAAAGCATTTTGACAGTGAAGACTGTTGTGTAAAAATACAATAAGACTCTTTACAGTAGACCAGAGGTTGTCAGATGCTATCCTGAGAGAGCTTTAAAGCAGCCAGAATGTCAATAACCTTGGGAAGCAGAGTAAAAACCCCAACACACTCACTACCCCCACATTTGGCTCAAGTTTATCCCAAAGAAATTCAGCTCCCAACACTCACATGGAAACAAACTTCTAAGACTTCTAATGAACTCTACACGTGACTATCACGTTAAAACAAACCCGACTCTAATTTGTTCTAATGAGATTCACTTTGTGCCTACACATCTCTATCTCTTATGGACAGCAACACTCCTGGCAAGGTCCTGGCGTGGAGGAAGCACTGCAGCCATGCAGGGAGTGCCAGCACAGCTCCAGTGCCTCCTCCTGGCAGCAGGAGCCGCTTGCTCAGCTCAGCACAGCAGCAGGAAGACTTCCAGCAGCGCGGGGCCATCCCCGGATGAACCGCGGATCCTGGGAATGCTCGGCGGGGCCATCCCCGGTGAGCCGCGGGCCGGCAGCAGCGGATCCTCCTCAGGGATGCTCGGCGGGGCCCGCCCCGTGCCCGTTGACGTGTGGGTGCGAAGGGGTGGAACTCTGCGAGGTGACAACGCTCTGCTCGGCTGTGGCGGCTGCCAGAGGCATCGAGAGGCTCTCGGGGGACAGCGTGGCCAAGTCTTGTCTCCAGTAGGCTTCGCACAGTGGGAGATCATTGCTGTCACACAGACTGTAGCTTTCCAGAACAAACAACCCCAGTGAGGAGAGAGCAGGTGTGGTGACAGAGGAGGGGAGGGATGGAAAGGGTGGAGGGAGCAAGACAGAAGCAAAGCATTAAGAAAATGGCAAAAAAAAATGCTGGATGTAAGGTCTGTGTTCATGAAATCATCCTAAGTCGTGTGACATTGGCTTTCCCTAAGACACCCCCCCTAAGGGCTGGTCCTAAAATCTCTTGGGCCTGGTGAGGATTGGGGCAATTTTAGAGAAGAACTGTGGCTACAAAATAAAGCAGAGGCTCAGTTCTAATCCAGACACTCCAAGTCTCTGAAAAGATCTGAGCTGAAGTCCTGACACCCCCAAATGTGCGATTTCTGCTACTGATGAGTGACACATGGACCTTACCCACAATTATTTTACTTGGAATTAGACCGCAACCTATGTGAGGAAAAAATAGAAATCCTGCTTTAAATTTTACTTCAGCAAAAAAAACCTGCCACAATTGTTTTGGGACCTGTCCCTGTCACAATGAAGAAGAACCCTATTTGCACCCCTGCCCTTTCAAGAAAGTGCTCCACAGGTTTGGGTCTTCCACTGAAGCTTCCCAGTTTGATTATAAAATACTGACAGCTCCTGCCTTTCCCCAGAGAGCCTGAGCTAACAGTGCTTCTAAAAGCAGCTGGCTGGACTCCAACACTGGATGGACCAGCAGTGTGGGAAAATAAGGTTTTTAAACAACTGGTTAATTCTTGCCCATACTCTGAGGAAAACAAAACGTGGAAGGGCCAAAACTAAAAAGAAACATGGAAGGAACTGGAACAAAACCAACACAAATCCCAAAGAGAAGAGCTGCACACACAAGAGACACCCAAGACAAAGGGAGTGCTGGAGCAGAAAGCATTCAGAGAAAAACAAACCCAGGGGGTCGAGTGATTTTGTTGTTGCAGCTTTATTTACATTTGTAATGTATGGACTGATGCTTAGGGAAATATTTTAAGTATAGAAATATGAGACAGTTCATATTGCACAAACATGAAACATGTGAGATTTAACCCCACACTGAGGACAGCTCCTGTGATCTCAGAGGAGGGAGCAATGGAACACAAATGCAGCTCTGGGGGTTAGGATGAGAGAGGGCAAGCTGGACTTGCAGTCACCACTTTGGGGCACAAGCACACAAAGCACCAGGGGCAAGCTGAGCTCTTTCCTGGCAGCCTCACCCAGCTGCCTTTGCAGCAGTGAGAAGGCAGTGGGCACAGGGTTTATATCTGGGGCTTCTGTACAATCCCTTGGAAGATCAGTCCCCAGCACTGGAGCTGGGCTCCAGGACTGAACCAGAACTACAACTCCTGCTCTGTCACAGACCTCAGGCCACGATTTCCCAGGAGAACCTGACCACAGCACCCACACCTCATGGCAGGGAGCTGCTAACCAGGTTCCAGCTGTGGCACAAGTGTGACTGCTTCTCCTGCTGCCCCAGTTAGAACAGGTGCAGAGCCCAAGCTCCACTCTCAGCTAACACTGCTCAGCAGTCAGGCTCGGTGAGCAGCTCTGCCCAGCCCAGCTGCTCTGTCCTGGGAGGGCTCCTCAGGGCATGGAAGGGACTTCACTACTCCCCTGAGGCACCCAGCCAGTCTGAGGGCAGAGGGACAGCTCTAGAAAATGACTTGATCACAGGGCAGGAAAACAAAGATTCCTTCAGGACAATTTTCTTGGGTCTAGTTTCAAAAGGCCCATGTGCACATAAAAAGCCTGGCAAACACCTGACCCTACAACTGACCAGGCATTCCCAGGAGAGCAAGGAACTCCCCTTGGGGACAAACAGGCTGTTGTGCTGACAGCCACTGAAACATGGCTGTGACATAACAGAAACTCTTCCCCCACATTAGGCAAGATTTCATTAAAAATATTGTAGTATTCTAATTACAAAATGACTTTGAATAAATCACTGTTTCTGTATTTACACAGACACGATTTCTTTGGTGCAGAAAAAGACAGGAAAGAGCACAGGAAGGGAAGAAGCAAATGACCAAGTGCTACATGATAACAAAGTGTCAGATCACAGCTCTGCAGAGCTGCCAGGTTTCCTCACCTCATGACCCATAAGGAAGAGCAGGAAGGTAAATCCACCTGATGTACACCAACATTTGTGTTTCCATGTCAGTTCTGCCAGCAAGGGTTGCTTTATGTGGCACCTGGGGCCAGGCAGGTGAACAGACCATGCCAGCATGGCCAGAACCCCTCAGTGCAAAAGTGAGAGTGACCAGCACACAGTGGTGGCAGTTTGGGGACACCTGGCACATGGGGGGCACTCTCATCCCACACCACACCCCTCTGGATAAGCTCACTGCTATGTCATGGACCTATCAGCACCCACACAGGGGCTTGGGTTTGTGATCATCACAACCTCCTCAAAAAACTGAATACAGTTTGAAAAATAACTCTAAGTTTTTACCTCTAAGCTGTGTCATATTATTATCTTTTTACTCTTAAAATACATATATTACTCATAAACAATGGCCTTACTTTCAAAGACATTGAGCAATTTAGTTGACTTTGCTGGGGTTATAGGCATTCAGCATTCTTAGAAAAATGGAAAAGGCAAACATAGAAAACCTGGTTAGTAAAATTTTAAGTAAGATTTTTTAAAGTTAAGTGTTTGTTTAAAATTCCTAGAATTATTGCACTGACTTCACTTAGCTTGGAAAGTGCAGCCAAAATAACCAGGTTTACATTTGTTTCCTTCTGCTGTCATTTACTGCATCATTAACTAGAAGTGCTGGAGTGCATGACAAAAAAAAATAAAGTGTCTGAATTCTCTAAAGTCTGTTTGCTAAATAAGAGGCTTTTAAAAATATTAAAAATCCCACAAACAAACCAGTAATAAATCATTCCTTAGAAAATCCTATGACAATTCTTCATAATTCAATGCAACTGAGCAAGTCTTTTTGCTCCTTACAAATGTTGACCCCAGCAGGACTGGAGGCAGCTGGGGGCAGTGGGCTGTGAAGGAAAAGGCACAATGTGTGACCAGGTCACTTGTGAAAGGACTCACCACCAAGGTGAGGTGACACCAGCTGACATCAGGACCCAGCTCAGCAGGGAGAGAGCCAGAGGCTCCTTCAGAGGCATTTCCCCCAAGGAAATTCATCTTCTTTTCTAATGATTACAACAGAAGCCTAAGGAAATTACCTATCAAACCTCCTTCACCAGGATATTTAAGCCCTGGAGGCTATCTACAAGGAAAAGGCTTTACTTGAAGAAAAAGAGTTTGACCTAATTAAAAGTAGGACTAAAAAATTTTGGGGAACATTCTCAACACCTACACTCTAAGGGCTATTTGATGGTCTGGACTAAGTACCCCAAAAAGGCCTGGAGTTGTAAGGCAGAGTCCACTGCCCTATTTGTACCTGGAAGAGTAATATTCTTCTTCTAGCTCGTACAGGTCAATGGAGATCTCATCCCTCAGGGCAATCAGCTTCTTGTCACACTCCTCCTGCAGGCTCCTGAGCTGCTGGTTGCGCTGGTTGATGGCCTCGTTCACAGAGGGGAAATCGTTGAGGATCAGGAACTGCTTCAGGTCAGACACCAGTTTCATCAGGGACTCGCCAGCTCGGACCTTGCAGCAGAGAGAAAAATCACACATCAGAACAGGGCTTTGTTCCAAGATCTCCCAAGCTGCTCCTTCAGCCCAAACTCCCACAACGTGAGAATTCTGACAGAATTCTGACCCAGCATGAAGTTACTCTCCTGGCAGCAGTCCTTGGGAGTGTTATGAAGACCCAAAAATGAACCCAACAGCCCGTGCAGGATGTGCTGCCCACAGGTCTGAACAATACCGTGCTACTCACAATATTTGCAGCTCTGACGTGCATCTCGTAGTTATCTTGTTCACCCTGGGTTGCTCGAGAAACTTGAGTTTCATCCTCGATCTAAAGAGAAAAGTACACAAATCTACCTCTACATACTTAAAATTCAAATAGATAATTATATGTTATAAGGTACAATGTATGGGAATATATACGTGGATAGGTGTGTAGATTTCCTATAGATGTGAATATGTGTGTGAATCTCAATAGATGTGAAATGAGATCACACATTATGTATATGAAATTTACATCCGTATGTGAATTACAGTTCAATTCACACAATGTCCAAAGCCAGGTTGAAAAGCTTGGAGCAACCTGGAGACATCTGAAGGCTTCTCTGCCCATTGTAGGGAGTGGAACGAAACAATCTTTAAGGTCCTTTTAAAGCCTTTAACATTCGGGGATTCTACGAAAGGTTGTCCCCTCACAGCCCTTCTACCTCTCGTATCCCCGCCCTTCTCCGCTTAGCACCAGGGGTGCTCAGGCCCACCTTGGCCGTCTTGATGATTTCGGTGAAGTTGTCCATGATGGATTTGACATCGTCCTTGAGGCGTTTGTTGTAGGACTGCAGCAGGGTCTCCTTGCTCTGCGGCAGCACCCGGGGCTGCGCCATGGCTGCGCCCCCCCCTCACGGCCCCGGCCCGGTCCCGGCCCCGCCCCGGCCCCGCCCTCCCGCGCTCTCGCGAGATCTCGCGCGCCGTAGAAATCTCCCGGCATGCCTCGCTCCGCCTTTCTCTCCCTCCGCCCAAGATGGTGAGTGATGGCGGCGGCGCGGGTGGCCGGGGCCATCCATCGCCATCGGGGGTTATTCGCAGCCGCCGATGGGCTGTGGTAGCGTCGCGAGGGTGCCTGGTTGGCAGGGGAGGCGGTGGAGCGGCGTTTCGTGCCCGATTTGCAGTGATGGGGGAAGGCCGCGGATGGGCCTGGCAGCCCGGACCGGGAACCTGCGGCTGCTGCGGGCTCGGGCAGCCCGGCCGGGCCTCGGGGCCTTCCCGGGGTAGGTCGGGTCCCGGTGATCACTAACGTGTGGGGATATCTCGGCTGCTCTCGGGGAAGCGATCATCACGCTCGCTTTAATCCTGTCCCTCTCAGCGTGGTTTATAAACCTTGTAAGTGCAAAGCACCGGATTTCCTCTTTCTGGGAGAGCATGGGAGGCCGCTAGCCTGGTGAAATGCCTGGGAAAACAAATGCATTTCCAGGGTGGGTTGGTAATTTCCAAGCATGCAAGTTGTAGAGGCAAAAGAAAATGAAGTGTGTATTTCTTTCTTGCAGCCGAAAGGAAAGAAGGCCAAGGGCAAGAAGGTGGCACCGGCCCCTGCTGTAGTCAAGAAGCAGGAGGCCAAGAAGGTTGTCAACCCCCTCTTTGAGAAGAGGCCCAAGAACTTTGGCATCGGTGAGTAAATGAATATTTGGGATAGTTGCTTCCATGGCTTTTTTCTTGTTCAATGAACAGATTAAGTTACAAACATTAAAAACCACTGCAGACTTTGTGCAGTGCTGTTCTTGTACAAGGCGCAGATGATGTGAAAGAATATTTGCTATCTGAGTGGTCGTGCTGACACATTACCACCAAGATCACTGATGCTCCTGTGCCTTTGCCGTGCTGCTGCTCTGGGTTTGGGGCAGCCCTGAGCTAAAGGCTGTGTTTTTTTAGGACAGGATATCCAGCCCAAGCGTGACCTCACCCGGTTTGTGAAATGGCCACGCTACATTCGGCTGCAGCGCCAGAGGTCCATCCTCTACAAACGCCTCAAGGTTCCTCCTGCCATCAACCAGTTCACCCAGGCCTTGGACCGCCAGACAGGTGAGGATGTGCCCCACAAGGCTCTCTTGGCTTGGGCTGTAAATGGGATGTGCAAAGAAACCAAAGTGAGCCTTAACAAAGGTAAACTGGGCTGTGTCTGTGGAAGTGTTTTAGGGAGGCTTTAATAGCGACCAGAGTGGTGTCAAAATCAGTTGGCTGGTTTAACTCTTGAATTGCTGCTGTGTACCCTGAAAAGGGATTTAGAAAATACCAAAGCTTTATTTACTGACCCAAACCCTGCATTAAATCTTAATTGTAATTCTGTTCTTCCAGCTTGATGTAGAACTACCCAGGGTGGTATAAAAAGATTGCTTGAGACATCTGTGGGAGTACAGGTTTTGGGGGAAAACTGGCACTGAAGGAAGAAGGGATTTGGGGGTAAAACTTGGGACCTGTGTAGCATAATTCCTCCTCGTAGATGCTCCTTGCATTAAAAGAGCCATGCACCACCTCTAACCATAATTGCTGTGGCATTTCCTTATCGAGTCAAGGAGCTCCCAGTGCCAACAGAGCTGCATGCAAACAGGGGCTCTCAGGGTTCTCCTCTCTTGGGCTGTGCAGATGATGATCACTTTTTGCTGTGAAAAAAAAATGTGATGACAACCACCAAGATCGCTGATGCACTGCAGTGTTTTTTAAAAAGAATGCTTAGATTTTCAGGTCATGCAACTAATTAGTAGGTGTTATCTTCCAGCCACACAGCTTCTGAAGCTGGCACACAAATACAGGCCTGAAAATAAGCAGGAGAAGAAGCAGAGGCTGCTGGCTCGTGCTGAGCAGAAAGCTGCAGGAAAGGGAGATGCTCCAACCAAGCGGCCGCCCGTCCTCCGAGCAGGTAACTTTGTACCTGAGCTGGGGGAACGTGGCAGTGTGGCACTAACTGATGGAGAGTCGGTTCTTCAGCCAGCCTTGGACAAGCTATGGCAATGATGTTATGAATTTCTTCACCTGAACTCAAAGTGAAGAGCAAAATATACGAGCTTTTTAACCCTGAGCTTTAGCGAATTGTCCATGAAATGTCTTTGTGCCACTGATGGTTTTGTAAAGTTTTTGTAACTTCCATAGTGATGCTGTGCTGTGGAATCAGAGTTGGCTTGTAAGAAAGCTCTGAAAATGGACTGAGAGGAATCAAACTTATCTAGAACTTGTTTTTCAGGTATCAATACTGTCACAACTCTGGTGGAGAACAAGAAAGCTCAGCTTGTTGTTATTGCCCACGATGTAGACCCCATTGAGGTGAGCATGTTACAGGCTACCTGTGTGTAACTGGGGTTAGAAATGCTTTTAAGGCAAAAATGGGTTTTAGGACAAATTGCATGAAAGAGAATGCACAAAAAAAAATACACATTTGCCAGAACTGGATGCTTGTGCATGTTTGTAGTTGTCCTGTTGGACAGTCAGGCTGGGCCCTTGCAATGATGTTTTGAATTTCTTCACCTGAAGCAGCAGTGAAGAGCAAAACGAGCTTTTTAACACTGAGCACTTGGCACAGCCCAGGCTGACAGGCAGCACAAAGGGCTGTTCTCCCCCACTTGCTGAGCTCTCCCTTCCCTTCCAGCTGGTGGTTTTCCTGCCAGCCCTGTGCCGCAAGATGGGCGTCCCCTACTGCATCATCAAGGGCAAAGCCAGGCTGGGCAGGCTGGTCCACAGGAAGACCTGCACCTCCGTGGCCTTCACCCAGGTTAACCCGTAAGTGTTCTGGGAGCTCACTTGATTTGTCTTGTGGAGAAAGCAAACTGCCCTAAACAGGCTCTAGGCAGGTGGGTAGCAAACTTGGGTCTCTCTGAAAGGATAAAATTAAAATACCACCCCTGTAGTGTCTGATAAAAATGTCTCTATCAAATCCTGAAGGTGCAGATGATTTTGGTTTACCAAAAGGGTGATTGTTCTAAAATCCAAGCAGTGCAGATTGAGTGTTAACCCTTTGTAAGTGATGCTTTGCTTAACCTGGAAAATTGGTTTGTCAGTAGAGGCTCTCAAATTCTATGGCAAAATATTTATGTAAAATGTTCAATCAAGGCTCTAAAGGAACTAAAACTGTCATCAACAGGGAGGATAAGGGAGCCCTTGCAAAGCTGGTGGAGGCTGTGAAGACCAACTACAATGACAGATATGATGAGGTAAGATTCTGTGTGCTGCTGGCCTTGTCTTTGTACACTGTTAACAATCCCAGAAGGGAGAAATGGGACATAGTGACATCAGTTTATACTTGGGTGTGTTACACCTAGGTCTGCTTACAGTGTACCCAGATTCTCTACCTGAGGATGAGGTAAAATGTGAAAGCTGTCACCAGGTTAGAAGTAAACAGCAACCCTAGAGCAAAAATTGTAGAGAGGGCAACAGCATTTGCTACCTGAACTCCATATCCCAAATCCAGGAGTTAGGGGATAGCTGAATCCAACATCCCTCAATGAGAAGGATTTTAAGCTTTTCTCTGCTGCCCCAAAATGTAGTGCAGTGCTTGAAATGTGCAGGACTTTTTAGTTGAGGGAGCTTTTCCCCTTGTGCAGAATTGAGTGCCACAGTGAGAGATGGATGCAGTCTCTAACCTGTTGTTCTTTCCTTGCAGATCCGTCGTCACTGGGGCGGGAATGTCCTGGGTCCAAAATCGGTGGCTCGCATTGCCAAGCTGGAAAAGGCAAAAGCTAAAGAGCTGGCTACAAAGCTGGGCTGAAGATGTACTGCATTGCACCTTGTTCTCTGTACATAATAAACCCCAGCTGTTTCATGATCTCTGTTCATGGGAGTGTTGTAGGCAGGGAGTATTTCTGTGCCTTCCATCTGGTGACAGAATAGTGCTGGGCAGGAACAGCTGCACAGAGCTGGTTATTACTCACCTTGGAGTAACTTTACTCTGGAACACACAGCCCAGCAGCTCAGCTGCACAGGGGATTTTGAAGTTGACTGGGCTGGGCTGCTTCTGGCTTTAGGCCTGGCTTGGTTTTGCAAATCTAAACTGGAAATAGCTCTTGATTTCTCCTTATTTAGGACTGGGTTACACAGTCCTAAATGTTACACAGTCCTAAATGTACACAGTATGGGTTACACACAGTGGTACAGCCTTCCACACCTGCAGTGTCCCTAGCAGTGAGGGCAGGCTGAGGGGGGAAGAATCAGGAGTTTCCTGAGTGCAGACTTGGTGTGTGGCACTGTGGATGGAGGCTACCAAGGCTCCAGCTGTGGTAGTTGCTTGTTTTTGCCAGCCCTCATCTTGCAAAGCCACAGGCTGCCTTCCCCAGCTAGAGCTGAGTGTCCACAGTACCCTCTAATTCAGCTTTGCTGCTGTTCCATGTAAGATGCATTATGCAAGTCACAAAGCAAAGACCTGAAGGCCTTTATTTATTCTGCTGCAGCTGCTGTAAGCCATTCCTGACTTCAGGAAGGACTACTTGCTGCAAATAGGCCGATTGACAAAATCCTCTGGATTTGTCTTAAGGAATAAAAAAATGGAGATGTTAAAATGTAGTTTGCAACCAACCCCAATAGAAAAATGTATTTTTGTGATTACTATTGAAGTTCAGTTCTCCCAAGCTGCAGCCAAATCACACTGGTGGGAGCTCGGTTTGCAGGGATTGCTTCAAGTCTGTTTGCAGCTTGATAACCTGTTTGCTGAAACTGCTCTGGAACTCCAGGTGCTTCAAGTATTTAGTGATCAGGCTCCTGTCATCCATAAAAGTCTGCTCTTGACTGTAGCACAAAGATGTTTCCTCCTTCCCCTCACAGAGGTACCTTCTGTATAAATTTCTTGTACCACAAGAAGGAAGTTGCAGCACACAAGCCGTACCTGTGAGAGAATCACACATTGGCACCTTTCCAGGGTGGACTGGGCCTCCTTAAGACAGCTGCAATAACCAAATCAACCCTCCTGGCACAAGCTATTGAGGTTAAAACTGGCTTTTTGTACCTCAAGGGCTCCTCCAGAGGAGGTCCCTTACCAGGTGGCAATACTGATGTGCTGGGGTTGGTTCCTTACCAGGTGACAATGTACTGCATGTGCTCGTTCCTCAGGCTCACCCTGGTCTGGCCCCCGATGGGTCCCCCTGGGACTGTGCTTTCTGTGGGGACAACACAGCCAAGGTAAATCCTTACCTGCACAGTGTGGGGCTGCACTGTGTCTAAGAAGGGAAGAAAGTGATCAATCTGGTGGTGTTCACAATCCCAGAATGGTTTGGGTTGGAAAGGACATAAAGCTCATCTCATTCCACCCCCTGCCATGGGCAGGGACACCTTTCTCTATCCCAGGGTGCTCCAAGCCCTGTCCAACCTGGCCTGGGACACTTCCAGGGATCCAGGGGCAGCCACAGCTGCTCTGGGCACCCTGTGCAGGGCCTGCCCACCTTCCCAGGGAAGAGTTCCTTCCCAATATCCCATCCAACCCTGCCTTCTGGCAGTTTGAAGCCATCTCCCTTGACCTATCTTTGATGCTCCTGACAGAAGTCCTCCAGCTCTCATAGGCTCCCTGTCACCTTCAACAGAGTGGGCTGGCAGAGCACAGGAAGAGAACTGAGGGCAAAGGGAGGGAGAGTGATGTAAATTGGATGTGAGGCTGGGCCCCTCTGTGACTTACTGAAATCTGCATCGATGAAGACGGGCTCAGCACCGGTCACCTTGGCCATGGCCTCCAGGTCCCGGTAGTGCCAGCGGTTTTGTTCAATGTTGTTTTCAGGCACAAAGGGTTTCCTTTTTTCTGTTAACCTCACCACCCCTGTGAGAGTAATCTCATCTTCAATCTGAGGAGCAGTGCAGAAAGAAAAAAAGGAATGTTTCAAGATTGATTTCATATTCTGACACATCAAGTCCTGTCAGGAAAATGTGGCACTTGAAGGGTCTGAGCATAAATGAAGTGGCTGTTCCCTGCAGAGGGGCAGTGCTGTAACACAGCAGGGAAAAAAGCAGAACAAGAACAGCTCCTTGTTTGTAAAACACGTTATTTACTTAACAAAAAGGTGGGAATTAAAGGTTTGTTGTCTTTGAAAAGTGCAATGTCTAATTAAATCACCTCCCATGATGCTGAACATAGCTCCTGCCTTTCTGGATTGGTGAGTGGTGCCTCTGGGTAACCAAGGGGCACAAAGGAACACCCCCATTCCCTGGATCCCCCTTACCTGTCCCTTCAGCCTGGTCTCTGGTTTCAGTTTATTCTTGGGCACAAATCCTCGGTTGACTAAAATCGTGACCCTAGAGTTACATAAAGAAGCACTGCTCAGGAGTGGAAGGGAATTTATTCCTGCTGCTGCCTAGAACTAAAGACCAAAGAAAGAAGCAACCCACGTGTTTGCTGCCACTTTTACTGTCACCCAAATGCACATTATAAAGGAATTTAAATACAATTTCAATTGCAGCCTCAGTGATGTCACAGACTGAGAGATACCTTTTAAGGCAGGGAAATAAAGGTTGGATATTAGGAAGAAGTTTTTTTACAGAAAGGGTGATAAAGTTCTGGAATGGTCTGCCTGGGGAGGTGGTGGAGTTACCATCCCTGGATGTGTTTAAGAAAAGACTGGATGTGGAATTGGGTGCTGTTGCACACATCTTTTCATTAAAATCCTTTCATTAGGATTTTTCTTGCTGAGAAGTTGAGAAGTTTCAGCAACAAAATGTAAACAATGGTTATCTGCTGCTGTGGAATGCAACAGGTGCATCTGTGATTGGTCCACCTTGGATGTTTATAATTAATGGCCAATCAAGGCTGAGCTATCTCAGACAGAGTCCAAGATATCTAGTTTTTGTTACCATTCTTTTCCTTCCTATTCTATTCTTAGCTAGCCATCTGAGAGGAAACCTTTTCTTCTATTTCTTTTTAGTATAGTTATAATATATATAACTATAATATATAGTTAACATATTTAACTCTATATTATATATATAATATATATAACTATAATATAAGTAATATATATATCGTAAAATAATAAATCAAGCCTTCTGAACATGGAGTCAACATTCTTGTCTCTTCCCTCACCTGAAGACCCCTGTGACCACTGTCACAGGGTGCCATGGTTTAGTTGAGGTGCTGGGGCTGGACTGGATTTGATGATCTTTAGTGATTCTGTGAGTGATAGATACAAACCCAACCACCAGGATTCAGATTTTCCAAGGAGAAGTGCGTGCCCCCGTGGAGCAGGGCCCTCCTGGACTCACCCCAGCTCTGTGCAGTAGAAGGGGGTGATGACGTTGGCTCCGTTCTCGGGGTGGGACGAGATCCTGCCGGCCTCGCGCGCCTCGCGCTGGGGGTCCAGCAGGGAGCGGGGCAGCAGGTACAGCTCCTTGGAGTGGTCAAAGCGCCCCCGCACCCGCACGGGCCTGTACTCCAACTCCTTCAGCTCCATGGGGCTGCAAGGAACAAGAAAAAAAACAAAATCACGGCTGTGCTACGTGAATTCAATCAGGAGATTTTATTGCGGGATTCTCCTTTTCCCCAATGGTTCACTCCGATGGAGCCTGTTGGCAAACAGAGGCAGAAGACAAACAGCTCATGGAATGTGGCTTAATGTATTTCAGCTGTCCCAGAGAATCAAATAGAGATGATCAAGAGCATCCAGGGAGAAGTTATTTTCCACAATATCTGCAACCCAGGTATCACAGAGCAGGTGGACTCACTGCCTGTGCATCCAGCCATGGGAAGTGTTTCTTTCCCATCCCACACCATGAAATCCAACAACTGAGCCCTTCTGAGTGTTGTGCCAGGTGACCAAATGACCTTAAAAATCCCTCTCACATCTGACACAGCTGCTCCACATGTCCTGCTGTTGCTCCAAGACTCCCTGTTGCAGTAACAATTCCTTTGGGACACCACAGACACCCAAGTCCTACTTCCCCAGTGAGATTAAAAATGCCATGAATTACATCCCACATTCTCCTGAACAGAGATTCATCCTTCCCCAAGCATTTAGAGTATCCCACAGGAAAGAACTGACATATCCTTTTACTAAAAATAAATAAATTATCAGGATCTCTTTCCAATTTGCTGGCACATCCCGATTTCCAATGCATCCCTTCATTTTCATGCAGGTCAGTTCAGCACAAGCTCATTAGTGCACAGTCCACATCTAATATTCCCAGCCAGTGCTCTGTAGACAACAAACCATCCCCGTTTCCATACTCTAATGTCAGAGGGATGGGATCTGCTCTGGTTCTTGATGCCAGCTGTGCAATCAAATTTAATTTCCACTTGCGCCGCTGAACCTGGAAATAAACAAACACAAAAGAAACTCCTTAGGGTAGAACAGAGCAATGTGACAACCCCAGCAAGCCTTAAAACCTTGGTCATAATTTTATCATCAGACCTTGCCTAAATCAGGGTAATTGGAGACATGAATTTAATTTGAGGAAATATTTATACTAAAATAAAAGTGTAAAAAAACAAGGCTTCCTTTAAAGACTTACCAGTGGACACTTGGAAAACAGAAATGTAAAATAACAGCAAATCGTTAACCTGCCTGTTGTCTGAACTAGATCAAACAGATGGAAAAACCTGACAGTCCTCAAGTGCTCATTTTTTGAAAAAATGAAATATTTATTTGTACCTGCCATGTGCCGAGACCAAACGTGGTCAGAGGGACGAGGAGAAGGCCCCATTTCAGCAAGGCATCCTCTCCAGATTTGCCAGCAGCTGCTGTGGAACTTTGTGGTCTGCAGAACCTCAAACAAACATCTACAGAAAACCAGAATGAGGAACAGGATTCAGAGAAGAAATGCCAAATTCCTGCAGGAAACATTACATCTTGGTATTAGGGTGAAACAGGGCAGAGGCCCAAATACCTTTAGTCTTTTGAATCAGACCAGAACCTCCCTTAGTTAGAGGACATCCAAAAAATGTTCTTCTGATCAAGCACTGTGATGCCTACATGGAATAAGAAAGATCCTTTGTAATGTTGCTGCTTTATAAAGCTTGTATTTAGGTAACATCAGTGATTGATGATTGCGTGAAATATTTTTTTATCCATTGATTTAAGTCTCAAATGCGCAACTCCCTGTGAAACACTATGGGTTAGGCTATAATTTAAATGGAATAAGATAAAATTTCCGTTACAGAGCTGCCTATAGCAGAGCAAGAAACTTCCATCTATGCTATCAGCAAACACTCAACAGCTTAATCTATTCTTGACAGAAACAAGGGCCTACAGGGGATGGGATCAGGGGGCTGAAACAGGGGACAGGATAAGGGGACACGATGAGGGGACTGGATCAGGGGACAGGATAATGGGACACGATGAGGGGACACGATGAGGGGACTGGATCAGGGGACAGGTGAGCGAATACGGTGAAGAGATAGGAGCAAGGGACTGGATCAAGATGAGGGGACAGAATGAGGGAACTGGATCAGGAGACTGGATCAGGGGACAGGACGACCGGACATGATCAGCGGACAGGATCAGGGAACTGAAACAGGGGACAGGATCAGGAAAAGA